TAGCTGGCTGCATGGCCAGTCCTAAGACAGTTTCAGAGGCAGACGGCGGGCCGCCCTGCTTGCAAATACAAAAGCTGCTTGTACATACAGATGCAATATACTTCAATTTACATGATATATTAGAAAAATTGTACAAGATAATAGTAGTTAAGTACAGTTAACACACTGACTGTGAAACAACAGCTTAAGTTAAAGAGTTAAGGCTTGAACAGGACAAAAATAACACTGTGTGTATATATATATGTGTGAGTGCGTGTGTGTACATACGTGCCAAGATCAAAGAGCACTATGGCTTCATTTCACTCGAGCCATCTGCAAACCTAAATCTTTCAAACTCAACACTGACTTTTGTAGGACTGCAAAATGGCAGCCACAGAAAGGCCACTAGAGGGAGCTGTGACATCCAGCAGACATCCAGCTGTTTGCGCCTTCCTCCCCTAAGCTTTTAGGCTTCAAGGTGGTTCGGTTCAAACTAGAGCCTCTTCCTCTTAAAGTAGTCAGCGTACTGCCCCCCCAGGCCTTGCGAGTGCTGCCCGATGTAGGCCGCATCGGATGCCGTAACTTCCTGCACTGCCAGCTGAGGATACTCCCTCTTATGGCCCCTCGTCTGGTTCTGATGGGTTAGAAACAAGAAGAAAACGGGAGGCAGAGGTGAGCAGGGATTATGGACGTTTGACCTGGATGTGTATGAAAACACTTATAGTTGGAAAGTCACCGATAAAAACCATATATTTCATTTTCAAATACTAAGGAAATCTTTTTTTATTATCATGAAAGGGTTTATTGTTTATCCCGGGAATATTACTCTTGGTTTCAGACCATTTTACCAAAAATATATTGTCACAACTGCCACTTCAAAGAGAAAATTTTGTTTTATTCATTTAATTCATCTCGGGACTTTGGTTGTCCACTACTATAAGTTTCTGTGGTCAGTGCATTACTTGACATAAAAAAACAAGTCACTAAACATTGTTTTCTGCACCTTACTAAAACAAGTGCAGCCTTGCTAACGATCTGCAGGAGATTAACCCTAAATTACTGAAATGATCAACTAACATAGAAGGTCGGTGACAAAGAAGCGTACAGGTTTGTGCAATTTTGACGAATAAGCAAAAATCCTGAATTTGCATGCATTTGTGTGTAGTAGCACAAACAAATGCAAATCTTTGAGGAGATGATGCTTAGCTCAGACGTCTGGCCCCGGTCTGTTTACATCACTGTGCACTCTCTCTCGCTCTGTGAATCTCTTCCACCTCCGTGTCTCCTTGAGTGGCTTTAACGGCCTTCAACTTTGCAGGGAAAAACATAAATAAAAGCTGCACTGAATGGTAGTCTACTGGTTGACTTGGTTGAGAGAAAAAAGAGGAAATAAATTTTTAGCAAGCAGCCTTTATAACACTGCACTGTTTGAAAGCAGAAACGTGTGGAGCTACTTGCAGCTAATGCAGACCAGCACAGACCTTCAAATGAGAACTGGTATTTAAATCACTGGCAGCACTGACATCAATCTGTACACGTCACACTGCTGCCTGGAGCTCAGCTTTATTGTTTTTAGTCACTGTTTTTGTGTTTGTTTCAGTCTAAAGTGCCTATTTCCTGTTCTTCTTTCACATTAAAAGGCCTACAAGGAAAGGAACGGATCCTAACGTTTGACCCAGTATAGCAGCTTTTAATTTGAAACATCTATGCAGGGAGCATAGCATCCCAGCAATTTCTCTGCTTTTATTGTAAAGCAGTCGCACCCTCAGCAACTCTTTTTTTTAAAGCTAACCACAGAAAAATACTCCTGCAGTACAGACAATAATCTCTACACACATTTCTTATACTAGCAACAATTGCCCTACTACACATAAAGGCATACAGAAAAGGTTAGCACAATATATCACTTTTCAATTCAGCAGGATGAGCAGCAACCCCCTCCTCCCAGATCCCCACTGTCAACAACGAGTGCAGCGCTCTAATATCAGAAGCTGTGGAGGAAACAACAATTCAACATTTCACTTAGCTGCAATATGAAATGTTGAATTGTTGTTATTTGGCCCAAGACGAGTGTGTCATGATTTCAAAAAGAAATGAAAAGGAAGGAGAAAAAACCCCTAAAAGAATGGAGACAAAAAAATGTGTTTCGTGTCTCATACGGGATCATGGATTGTTCTTTACTTACATAGTAGTAGGTGTTCCAGTCCGCAGCAGCGGTGTGTGCGTGTGTGACAGGGTTTGGTGCGGCCGCAGATGGGTGCGGTGCCCCGAGGAAGCCGGGCATTAAGGGCAGCGTGCTGTAAGCTGGGAGCACGGCGGCGGCAGGTAGGACGGCCGGGGGAGGAGCCGCGCCATTACTGACCGCGTGCAGAGACACTCCCAGAGGCTTACACACCTCCACCTCCTACAGGAAACACAGAAACAAATAGTAGTAGCTTATTTATTGATACGATTCAAAAGTATACTCTTTCAAAGGTAGACACCAAGGAAAATGGTCTCTTTTTTGTTGCCGTGTTACTGTTTAGCTGCTGACAGAATCTCATAACATGAGAAAATAATTGACAAAAGTGTTTTATTCATGTTAGCTTTTCTGTCCTCTAGTGTCTGTTATGAGGCACATCAGGTAGGCTCATTCAACCGGCTTCCCGTCACAGGGGCTTACTCTCCGAGGCAACCATCCCAAATCAAAATACTCATGCCGACATATACACAGCTCAATGTAACGCCTTTGTCAAATGATACGAAGGATTTCTCAGGCAGAGTTATCAAAATTTCCACGAGCTCAGGACGCCAGGGTCCAAGCCAGCTGTGCAATAAGATCTATGACATCATCTTCTAAGAAAACATCTTACATGCAGTCGTGTTTCCATTACGTCAGAGGACATTACTTTTGCCTTATACTTATTCATCCTGGAGCCTTACTCTAATTATTCCACCAAAAAGCATTTATGATTTACCTCAAAGAGACTTTTAGTCCCCAAAAGGGAGGCGAGTCCCCGATTCATCACAACGTGAAACTGATCTATGTCCCCCCACAGGTAATGCACATATGCTCACATCCTCCAGCAGCAGCAGATAAGCCTGGATTTGGCTGCTCATTGTGTGTGGAGATGGCTGGCATCAGCTGCTGGGTGCAGAGTGATGCGTTCCCTCTAACAGGGTATCGGTGTCGCCGAGAGGTCAACCTCTCCAAATAAACATGCGGATGAACTTCATGTTAGTGCCAGCGCGTGTAGATAGCTTACACTCTGTCTGCAGGATAGGAAGCTGCTTGGATTTTTCAAGAGCTTCACTTTGTATCTGTGTGTATGTGTGTGTGTGTGTCCGTATGGTCACGGACAATCTAAATGAGCTTATCTTACCCTAATATGAATTATTTGTATGTTCTAACTAATTTAAGAAGACAAATGAATAACTTGTGTAAAAATGCTTATCCCTGGGACACGCTGGGTTCGTTAGCTTTGCTGATACATGCATGATAACTGAAGTGAATGGGTACGGAGGCTGTGTGTGTGTGTGCTTGTTCGTGCGTATACTTGTGCACAGGATTTTGTTTTCTCTTCTTTTCCAAGCAGCTAGTTGAGGGATAACACCTGGTCAAGGGAGCCATGTGTGTTTCAAAGAGTTTATAGTGTGTGTGTGTGTGTGTGAGTGTGTTTACCTTGCTGGCGTAGCCCTGATTGGCTGTTGCTGGCTGGGAGTAGTATTGAGTGACTGCCTGCATGTAGGAACTGTAATCTCCATAGGTGGACACAGCTGGAGTCTAGAAAACAAGATTTCACATCCATTGTAGTTTTGTTGTGGTTTTTTTACACTGCTCAAAAAAATTAAAGGAACACTTTAATTTTCAAAGGAACAAATTAGATCTCAAAGGGAAAAAAAAATCATGCTGGATAACGTGTTAGGAATAAAAGGATGTGATGGAAATGAAAATATTGACCCTACGGAGGGCTGAATTCAGAACAAAAAAAAACATTTTTTAAAAAAGTGAAAAAATGGCAGCGGCCAGTAGACTTAGGTTGTCCGTGTTAAGGGCCTTGTCTCTGGAATCTCCTTCATGTTCTTAAGACTGTGTTGGGAGACACAGAAAACCTTCTGGCCATATGCCATCCTGGAGGAGTTGGACTACACGTGCAAACTCTGCAGGGTCCAGGTATCACCTCACGCTAACAGCAGCGACACTGACCCTAGCCAAATACAAAACTAGTGTCAAACAGTCAGAAAAGATGAGGAGGGAAAGACTGTGAGTGACCTCCAGCTGTAAAACAATTCCTGTTTTGTTAGTTGTCTCATTGTTGCTCCTCCAGTGCACCTGTTGTTAATTTCATTAACACTAAAGCAGCTGAAACTGATTAACAACCCCCTCTCTACTGACCAGATCAATATCCCAGAAGTTTAACTGACCTGATGCTGCACTGATTGAAAAGTGTTCCTTTCATTTTATTTTTTGCAGCTACTTTTTGTTAGTTGCAAAATATTTTAAGTTGCTTGCACAAAGAACACATTTACAGCAAACTGAAGTGGGCAGGACTCTGATGCGAGGATGAAGAAATGAAGGAAATACATTTACATGGAAATACATGGATCAAACAAAAAACAACACGTGGCACAAATCCCACACAGTCACAAAGAGGTGTGTGTTTGCCACCTGAGTGTGCTCCTTGCTGTAGTCTGCGGCCGTGCTCTCCTGTGGCGCAGCAGTGCTGTAGCTGTGGGCTTGTGCCGCCTGATAGTGCTGGTACCACTGCTGCATGGCCTCCTACGACACACACACATTACCAAGCATGAACAGTGCTTTCTTGTCTTTGCGTGATTGTTTTTTCTTTTTTCTTTGCCACCTTTAAATTTTATGCGTCTCATTAAGTATTGTTCCTGCTCTCCAGCGTTTCGTTCCTCTGTCTTTGTCTTTCCAGACAAATTAAACCGACCGTTTTATTGGTTATCTAATCATGACTCATTTGTTTGGATGAGTAGAGTGTAATTAACATTTCAAATGGGGTTTGGTACTTGCTGCGAGCATCAGATATGTCACCTACTGCTGGAGGAGGAAGAAGCGCAAAAAAGAAAGAGAAAGAAAGATGACAAACAAGCAGTAGAAGGGCTTTGGGACTTGTTCTGAGTGGAGTGTTAGGCGTGAGAAGGAGAGCAGGGACAGATGGAGACACGCAGTGCTCACTGCCAAATCCACTCTCATTCTGTCTGTCCAAATATCCATACCCATTCCCATCTCTTCCACCACCCTGCCTCCCCTAGTTACAGCTCATCCTGTCTCTGTTGCACCCATCCAGCCGCGCTTTGTGTATCCATCCATCTACTCAGCAACACATGCATCAATAGCATATTTGAGGCCCAGTAATGCCTGTTCACACTAACTGAATGTACAGACCCCAAAATTCAGCATTCATATTTGTGTGTGTGTGTGCACACGTGCATGTGTTGTAGGGCAGCACCTGTGTGTATGCTTGGTTGTACTGGCTGTAGTCAGTGGAGGAATCTGTGGTGTACGGGGCAGCGGTCGTAGCTGCTGCACTGTGGGAGTAGGAGCCGGAGCCCTGGGAGACCACAGGAGCGACTGAGCTGTTGTAAACTGCAGCGCTGGGTTGTCCTCCCTGGGCTTTGCTCCCCACTGAGCCTATGGAAGAGTAGAAGGGAGAATGGACGACAAATGATGTGTTAATAATCATAATGATGCGGGTTATCACACAAACTGCCCTTTTTTGTAATTTAGTGTATTTTTATAATATTTCCCCACACCTCTACACAATAAGTTAAATATTGGAAGAATTAGAGACAATTCAGTAAATAGAGACAATTATAATCTAGAACCTGTTTCATGTTGTTCATGATTGAGATGCTCTTGGACACTTCGTACGTGTCTGATATGAGGTTTCCAACTGATTTTATTCATTTTAGTGTTTAAAACTGATCTGATTAACAGAGGTGGTAGAATTGATCACCGGCTGACCTGAATTGCTCTTCTTGAATAAAAAAGCTTGACTAATAAATGAGCACAAAATGCTTTTAAGTGCTGCAAAAGCCAGGACGTGAACGCTGGTGCAAAAACTTTATGGTTGTTGTGCGATCGTGTGCTCACCTTGCAGAACTACTCCTGGCATTACACTTGCCAGGTTTAGGTAAGGATTAGAAGGCAGCCTGACTTCTTTAGGAGGATCGCCCAACAAAGAACTCTGTCCACTGTTTACCTAAAGAGAGACAGGTGAATATAAAATGTATTATTCACACTGCCACCAACAGGAACTGCAAATAAAAATCAGGTTTTAGTTTTTAGAGGTGTTTGAAGGCAATTACAGCTACTTTGCTTCATCTTTATTCTAAACATGTATCACATTGTGGATTTAATGAAAAATACTGTGCTACACAAATTCTAAAAAATACTGATTATACAAACTTTACATGAGGCTCTAAAGCTGACTTTTGTGAGCTACTGAAGAGCTAAAGTGATGGTGGAAACCTGCGAGGATTGTCTTCTCTAGTAATTACACTTTCTCTCTATTAAAGGGACTTCAGAGAAGACAGTACTGGGACTGGAATCGTGTCCCCTAAGAACCTCGGCACTGTGATTATTTCTGTACACAGACTTATAAGAGATAATGATGTTAGTGTAGTTGTACTGTATTTAATCCTGGCCCAGTCTAGGAGATTTAGGGAGGTGTTTTAGAAAGAAAACAGGCAGGTGGGTACAGGTTGCATTACAGGCATTTTCCAAAGGTAAAGCACTCAAGGGACTGAGGCTGTTTATTCAAAAAGCTCCCTTGACATTGTGTGTTGAGGTTAAAAGCAGACAACACTAATCAGGAATAAATACTCCCTCCCCCCAAGAGACAGAGAGACTGAAGGGTAGAAGGAGTTAGGACCATAACAAGCATTTCTAGAGCTAAGTTACAGATTGGTTTCACGGAAAATATCAACAACTTGCATCACAGTTGGAGTTCAAATATTAATTTGTGCAGCAACGTACACATAAATATAGAAATTCAAGAATTACACCAATATCTCTAGAAACTTCCACCAAACATTTTATCAGGCGACAATTATGTAATACTGACAACGAGGGCCAGGTAATGCTGCCTGGTTTGTGAGTCTGTCAAATTACACATTTTGAAATGTTAAGACTGTATATAAATGATGGACGTAGCCAAGGGGACATCATCAAATGCTTTGTGAGCATTTTGACTGTCGCCATCTCGATATCTTTTTAAAAGCACACATCCAATTAAGGAGACGATCCGAGTAAGCGAGAGCACTGCAAGGTCATAATTTGGCAAATTTTCAATCACAGGGTAGCTCCGCCCTAAAGCATCCAAAAATCAATATCATGTTGTATTAAGTAAGAACTGAAACGGTGTAATGATTAGAACATGTTTTACTCAGATCATCCGTCAAATGAGACATACAGGCCCAGTCTAGGTTTACAACTGGACTTCCTTTCAGACTTGGAAGGCCATCTTTTCTGTACAGTCAAAGTATTTTGTATTTGCTTCACGCATGCAGATTTTCGGTCGGTGTCCTCACCAGGGGGCAGCTGTCTGAGCTGTTGTGCTGGCCTGTTGTCGTGTAAACTCCTCCAGGGGGTTTAGGCGGAGGCGGGCCAAGGCCCGAGTTACTTATACCCAAGGAATAGCTCTGTCCCTGTGGTTGGGCGCTCACCATCGTCCCTGGAGGAGCTGGCTGCCTGTTGTCACAGGAGGTGGAAGAGGAAGAAGAGGAGGAAGAAGAGGAGGAAGCAGAGGGGGTCGTAGTCACAGAATGGGTGCTGTGGCTAGGTAGGTCTCCTCCTACAGCCCGACCCTGGAGGTACGGCATGACACCTGCTGCTGAAACCACTACTGTGGCATTGTGGGTAGATGCTGGAACTGACTCCTGTCCCAACTCTGTAAGGGGAGATGACAAGAAAGCAAAAAAACAAAAAAACAGGAGGAAATGAAAGGAGAGGTGAGTGATAACAGAAAGTTGAAATTCAAGAAACAGTAAAGTAAAAACATAGTATACAGAAAAAAAGGAAATTAAATGAAGGGAAATAAAGGCACGGTTGGGAAAGATTCCAGATAAACATGCGAAATGGCTTTCACAGATGACCATCAGTGTCTCCGTCTCCTCAGGACACAGACGAATCGCTCAAACGGCTGGAAACTCCGCCTGGCCGTCTCTGCAGAGCCAGCTGTAATATTTGAGAGCAAGTTTCCCGCTCATACATCACTGCTTATCGTGTTTATTTACAGCCTGCCACTTAGCTCTCCACAATCCCAATATTTCACTCACTCCAGGGTTTAATAACACAAATATGTACACATGCAACATAATCCCATACAAATGTACACAGGCCAAAAAAAAACAAAAAACCACAAACATATAAGTAAAAGATGCACACACACACTAAACGTGAACATACGCAGTGGCACTTATTATAAATCCAATATTGCTGTGACAAATGGCCTCCATCGCACAATAAACGAAACCGCTCTAACAAGCCTTGAGCCAACATTCCCCAGCAGACAAGAGACACGCACGCTCGTATGCAAAATTGCAAACTCATGCATCCAATCAAAGAGGGACACACTCACAGTGGTGCACATGGGCATGATTGTTTGTTTTTATGCACATAAAAAGTCTGCGGTATATCATTTCCATTTAAAACAACACAGCTTTTCTCAGCTGGAGATTTGAATTGTAAATCTGCTGCAGCTTCCTGCTCCGCACTGTAACGTACAGCTGGGCGAAATTCAGCAGTCTTTACAGGGACAAGCCCGACACACGGGTCAGAATTAGGAAAAGGACCCACAAAATTTATGGCTTTCACTTTAACATGAACAATATTTTTCTGGGACCTTAGAGCCTTCATTATTAACATGTAAAATAGAACAGATTCTGGATTTGGCAGAGAGAACAGACCAAAAGGTTACACTGTAAACGGTAAATCATTGATTTTTAGAAAACTGGTACGTGGAAAAATAAAGGTGGTGTTGTAGGAGCGCTACCAAGTTAAAATGTTAATAAGACTCTACTTTCAGCTGCTCCCTGAACCAGCGACCTTCACAGACCTTGCCAAGCAAATGTGTAAACCGCTGCACTCTGGAGCCACACAGTTAGTTAAACTATTAATATGCTCCCTCTCAAGAAAAAGACAAAAGTAGTAGAGCAAGAAAACCAAAAACAAACACTAAATTAGGTATTAACCAAAGCCTGAATGCTTCAGTGTGATTTAATTTGTTTGCAATAATTAAATGAACTCATCTGATCAGGGTGCTTGTTACTCATTTACCTGCTATTAAGGGGCCGCCACAGTGGGTAATTAACATTTTGATTTCTTACACCGGACGCACTTCCTGACACAACCCCACAGAGATTTGTGTCTACTCTTAAATTGTGGCTGTTTAGCGTGTTAGGTAAATGTGTAAACCACTACATAATGGAACCCGTTTACCTGTAGGAGAGTCTCCCAGGAGGCCTTTCCCCAGCTGCACGAGGCCTGGAGGTCGCAGAGACAAGGCTTTCTGCATGAGCAGTCTGGACGGGTCCCCGAGCAGACTGGAGACCTAATAAAGGGGAAATGAAAGAGGAGAAGGAAGAGTATTACAAAAAAAAAGAAATGGAACAGAAAAGCAAAATCAAAGAACAATATCATAAAAAACAAAATTGGAAGAGCATGAGCGAGATGGTCATTATAAACCAAACAGAATCCACCATGTAGAGCTGTGCTAGCTATACAATGGTGTGTAAAGCAGATCCAGAGCATCCAATCCACAAAAGTTTTAGAATTACCAGGACCTGCTCACAGATTTCTCAGAATATGCAGTCTCATCTTCATAAAAGTCCAAGTGGCAATCTCTGGTACTGAAAATGAAGCCAGCGTTGAAGTTCCCAGAACTCTAGTTCCTCCAAGACCAACACCAAGAACGAGTCATTCCCCATAGAGTTCAAATGCCCAACTTCAGAGATTAAATTAAAATGTCCTCACAAAAAATAAATGAATAAAAATTAATAGTGATACTTGGATATTCCACAACAATTACAAAGCAATGAAACTAACTCTTGGGACATGGAACTTCACCTCTCTGGTTGGGGAAGAAGACAAAGCTAACACGTGAGGCTGAGAAATATCATCAGGCTCACCTCAATGTACAACATGGGCTCTCGAGCCTCCTGGACAAGGGCTAGACTTAATGTTCCAAACCGGAGTTGCCCTTGGCAAGAGGAGGTGTGGACAGACTCTTATCTCTTGCAGTCTGACAGAGCAAAGCGGATTTTACCCGTCAGTCAGTCTCCCTACAGGCACATATGGTCACAAACTGGGTAGTGACTGAAAGAACATATACAAGGGGTGCAAATGAGTTTCTGAAGGGTGGGTGGGCTCTCCTGTAGAGTTTGGCCATTCAAGTAGGAGTAGCAGAGCTGCTACTCCTCTATATCGAAAGGAGACAGTTTATTTTGCTCAGGCATATGACTTGGATGCCTCCTGGGCGAGATATTCTGGGTATATCCTACAGGGAAGAGGCCTTGGGGCAGACCAAAGACATGCTAGAGAGATTACATCTCTGGGCTTGCTTGGAAACACCTCAGTGTCCCTCTGGGTGAACAATAGGAAATAGGACTGGGTTTGACTGCTTAGACTGGAACCTGGACCCAGATAAGCATGTAGAGGATGGATGGATGGACATGCCAATTGAAAGCTTAACCCTTGTATGGTGTTCGGGTCTGTGAGACCCGTGTTCAGTTTTTTTCAAAAGAAAAATTAAACAATTAATTATTTTTTCACGTGTAAATGTGTTGTGTCTTTCCACTCACTCCACTTGATTATAACTGATTTATTTATAACATTTTATATAAAAGAAAAACGAGAAGCACATTAATTCATAAATGTGATCTAACAAAGGTAAAGGGAAAAAATTAACCATGTTTGCTGTTCATATGTCTTGTAATTGGGATGAAGTAAACATCTGTTGAGTAATTTAACATAAAATTGTTTGATAGTGTTAATTTGGAAAGCCAAAACTCTAGCGGGTCCACCAGACCCATGAACACTGGCTGAGTAACAAAAATACGAACACCACACAAGGGTTAAAATGGTCCTCCTTGTTAAAGTTATGGGTTGATTAAGTTTTTAAAAATATGTAGAGATAGTATCCAGTATGAATTGCAATCATTCAGCTTAAAAAAGAAAAAAGATAAAGAAAGAAAAAAAAAACATCAAATACTCCAAACATCAGTACCCATGACATTTAACTTTCACTTCAGCAACACAAAAAATATGCAAATGAAAACACAGACAGAAACTCATCACCTCAAGGTCTCACTTTAAACAGAAAAGAAGAAGCAATTAGGTTGCATGATTTCGATGTGGTTTCGTTTTCCCGTGCATTAAGTGCTGGAGATAAAAACATAAGGGCACATATGCACATGCCCCCAACTATGTTTAACCCTCAGCACTAGCATATGCAAATCATCACACACAGACACACAAACAGGTGTCTTACGCTGCTGATGCGTTTGTCTTTGATGTGTAGAAGCTGTTGCTGTGCCAGCTGCATGTGCAAAAGGTTCTGGAGGACTAGTCCATTTCCAAACATAGCATTCTGCAGGGTAAAAGAAAAGGACATCAGAATACACACACACACACACACACACATACACACACACTAAACAATTCAGAGATGTAGATGTTAGTGTGACCTGGTGTGCTTTTCCCAGTGTGAGCAGGGCTGTAGTGAGGGGAGGTCTGAGGAACGGCAGGCTGGTGTGACGCCCGTATTTTCCTAAAAACATAGTCAAACAACAAAGAGAAACACCAGAGCCTCCATTAGTGATTTGCTTTTTTTAAAGTCTCCACCAAAGTACTAATCAATCATCATCTCAACAGGCACACACAGGCGAAATTACAAGTCAGACAACCGATCCATCAGTCATTTACAACACATTTCAAGCAATCACACAGCTGGCTGTTTTATAACAAGCACCAGTAAAGCAATACTGGGATATTATGCAAGCACAAAGCAAATTACCTCCCACATAACTTTAACTTTTTTCCCCTCAAAACTTAATTTCTATTTTGGTGTTGAAGACAGATTTTAAAAAGAGCTCTAAAAACAAAAAAATGTAAACTCCTTTATATACCAAAATATTCTAGGGTCAAATGTGAGGCCATCTGTCCAATAGATAAGCTTGGCCCAAACCGGCTGATGCAATAGGACAAGGAAGTGCAGCAGCAAATCTGCAGCAGAATGGCTGAAGAGTAAAAACAATCTAGTTGTTGTAACGGCCTGACAAAAGACAAACAATTAAGCAGATGAATTTGTGTTAAGCTCACCAATAGATATTTCATCTTGAGTACTTTTGCTCTTGTATGTATATATGCAGAGTATATAGGATTAATTAGTCATACTTCCTGATGATTTAATGTTTATCATCCACTGATATGGTCTCTTCCTGGCATTAGAGATTTACTTTTCAGGTGTCATTGCAAATCACTTTTGCAATGCTCTTGGTCTTATTATTTTCTGATTTGCAATCTCCAGTTAATTTGTTGTCCAGTACACTTCTCACAGTAAACACCTCCAAGGCCAGCTCTCGCTGTGAAAGTGACACCCCACTTGATAAGACATCCAGTGAGATGTCTTATCACACAGAGTAATGCATTAACAAGTTTCCTTTTGCTCCCCTTGAGCAATACCTCCTGTAGTTTTCTATACCCTTTTTTAAGGGCAACTACGTGTTTGTGAGGAGAGACATTTGTGCTTTCTTTAATGCACCTTCTTTAAAAATACATCACAAAATCCAGTGCAATGCCAATTTCTACATTCAACAGACTTCCTGTTTGTGATTCATAAAAACAAAATCGATCACACTGATCTGCACCCATGCCACAGATGCACAGCCTTTCTTCTGCTTCTTTTGTGCATGCGTGGTAAGCCTTGGTCATAATAAATGTAAGCGTCAATGCTAATGGTAGCTTCCTCCAGAATAAGTAGAGAAAGTTTAACATTTAATCAAGATCCTAATTTTAGACTTTAATTGTGCATACTCTCCTTTAAGAGAGCTCCCCCACCTCTCTCATTTTCTCTCCTTCCTGTTCTCATTTCTTCCCCTAATGTCACACGATTTCATTTTAATACCTGATTAGCCATTCATCAAATAATGAAGCCACTGCCGAGGTGATTACAGTATATAGGAGGGTCTGGCAGAGGGAGACTCATTCAGCGGAGCTTTGATTGCCAGCCATGCCCTGTAGTCATGATCTAGTTTCTGCCCAGATCATTATCACCAATTTCATCATTTTATATTTGTCTAAATGTTCATATTGACTTGTTGTATAGTGCTTACATTTGTTATCCCACCTCCCAATGGAATGTTTATGCCACAGCTGCCCTTAATTAATAGCATTGCTAATTACCTTTTATGTTCCTATCATGGTTAATCTGCCAGTATGCACAATAGGCCTGTGACATCGTCCACAATAACACCAGTATAAATTATTGATGTGATATAAAAGTGTCATATGCCAACATCAAGATGAGCAGTTACATGGTTCAGTTACTATAATTATTAAGTGTTAGCAGTTATTTTATACTTATACTTACAATTTTCCGGGGAAAATACTGCCTAGGCTATTTTCATGCTTACATTTGAAAATGCTCCTCAGCTAGTTACATGTATAAATGCTGCCAACTGCATGCTTTTTCTAAATTGATAGAAATATTGATACTGCATAGCATTCTTTAAATATTGTGACAAAATGATGAGCTTAAAAATCCCCCACCCATAATGTGGAAGCTCTTAATTAAAATTTTAATGCTAAAATACCATAATTTTTAAGTTTTATGGTTTTTCAAAAAAGCTGAAAAAATTGTAAACCAACTGCAGAGGCTTCTGAGGCCTGAAGCTTTTCCATTCCTGCTTGATGCAGGTTAGGCCCACATTTCATAATGCGCAGAATGTTTTTTTTGATGAATGACAGCTGTGGACTTCAAGCAGACCAGTTTATCACCTGGAATCTTTCCCTGTGGAGCCATGCAGGTTCAATGTGAGGAGGATACATCTGGCACCATCTTATAGCATTAAGCAAAAGTGTATGCACCAAAAAGCTGTTCTAAAGCTGCACATATCATTTCAGCATTAATAAGGCTTTGACAGATGTACAAGATACCCATGTCATGTGAACTAATGCACCCGTACACCTACAAAGAAGCAGTCTTTTTCAGATTTGATTGGTCAGATGAAAGTATAGTTTTCCCCTTCAACTCACCTCAGTCTTTTATAGTGGAGGATGATGTTCATTTGCTTTTTAATTGCATTATAGAGTTTAAACTTTCATTTTCAGATGCCACAGCCTGCGTTCAGTGTTCCTGAGCCAATGCTTGAATTTCCAATTCACTGTCAGATAATCCACTATCCAGATGTTAGGTGTTTTTTTGTTTTTTTCCCAGATGTACAACTTTTTCAATGTTGCCACAATCTCAGCTAGCATGTAGCATGATATGCTAGCATGATATTTAAAGAGAAACCACTTAAAAAAATAAAACACCAGTTCTAACTCCTCATATGGGGTGGCTGTAGCTCAGGTGGCAGAGCAGGTCAGCCACTAATCAGAAGGTCGGTAGTTCGATCCCAGGCTGCCTCCTGGCTGCATACCAAATATCCTTGGGCAAGATACTAACCCCATGTTTGCCTACTGGTGGTGGTCAGAGGGCCCAGTGGCGCCAGAGTCCGGCAGCCTCGCTTTCTGTCAGTGCGCCCCAGGGCAGCTGTGGCTACAATGTAGCTGCCATCACCAGTGTGTGAATGTGTGTGTGAATGGGTGAATGACTGAATGTAGTGTGAAGCGCTTTGGGGTCCTTAGGGACTAGAAAATGCAGGCCATTTATATGTTGCCTTTCTTTTTTAAATATATATATTAAAAAAAAAATCGAGAAACAGAACTTTCATCATACAATGTTTAAAAATTATTTTGCAAAAAGAATTCACAGGTTTTAGGCTGTAAATTTTGTGACACCCCATCTTCAGGATTTTCCTGGCCACTCAACGTTTTTAAGGAAATCATCATCATGCCAACACACTTAACAGGAACATAGGAACAGCCAGAAATACTTTTTACATATTTCTGTACAATACTTTCGTTTCACAGATTTGAAATGTAGACTATCCAGCATACCTCCTCTTTTCCCAGTGTGGTACGGTCTCATGAGTATCTGCAGAGCAGCGGGGTTCGTCATACTGGTCAGCAGCTGAGCCAAATTTGGTTCTGGTAGCAAACCTTTCCTGTTACTTAGAATCTGGAGACAAAACAAAAAACACAAAAAGCAAGTGAGTGCAACAACACGTGACTAGATGTGTGCATGTGTGTATCTGTGTATGTGTGCAGAACAGTATCTGTTTTGATCTTGTCATTAGGAGCCCCTGATGGCTTAAGTAATCATTACACTAGCTTACATCATCAGGATATGGCTGCAATGTCAGCAGAGGGGAGACAAAAGAAAAAAGGCAAGAAAAAATATAAAAGGACAAAGCTGGGAAACGACAGCAGCAGGAGGGAGAGAAAGGACGGGGGAGAAAAACAAGGACGAGAAAGAGTCTGAAGGAAAAAATGTTTTTTAGAGACTTGGGAAGGCCACTTTTATTCACAAGTTTGTATCATATCTGAAAAACAGCTTTTTTCACAGTCTGCTGCTGTGCTGGAACTTGGCTAAAGACGCACATTATGACACATTACAAGACTGCTGCCTTTCCAGCATCAAATTCTGTGCTGACACAAGATGACAGCTTATAGTGAGATGGCCAATATTTATTTATTTTTTTTAAAGGTTTCAGAGGGCGTTACGGTCGTTTCAAAAGAAACGGACACAAAGAAAAATCTTTCAGAAAATGTCTGTCACACATGTAGTTTAGCTCACGGTTTGGGAGCGTCTGCCTTGAACTTAAATACGTCACTTCAAAAGAATATCTGATCAAAGCGCAGCTTTTTAAAATGTAATCCTGCGTCTTGTGCATGGCTTTCACAAATATATACATAACAAATAAGTCTGACGCAAGAATATCTTCCTGTTATTATTTTCATTGAAATTTGTAAAGATGATTAGTAAATCATAGTACCGACAGAAAGTCATAGAGCAATAAAATAAGGGAGAGGGGGAAGTTTGATATGCAATCGCCTAGATTGCTCATAGAAAACTGGACCAGCCAGTCTAAAAAGAAAAAAGAAAAAGAAAAAGAAGAGACTCCATCTTAGGCCTGTGTAGCCTTTGGTGTTTATCAGTCCTCAAACTACAACAGAGCAGAGTTGTAAAAGAGGTATAAGCACCGTTGGCTCACAGCAAGAAAGTCCTAGGTGGCCTGTGCCTGTTTTCTTCCAGGAGGTTTCTTCTGCCCTCATGCCAAGTTAATTCTCCTGTCAGTGTGAACTTCCACCAAGGCATACAGCTGGAGCTTGTCCTCCAGCCCTGCACACTGCTTAGAATGAGTAAAATGCAGAGAGCAAATTTCTCTACAATAACACACTGACCCCACCCCTGACTGCTGTGGAATTCATTTGTTTAAAGTGCAACAGCTCTGCTTTTCCTAATCTTCTGTCATATGTACAATGGTGGATGTTCAACTGAGGCACATGGTTCCAGCTGTGAGCACAGAAGCCCCACCCACCAGCGGTTTAGGCCTTCTGTTTAGAAGGTGCAACCAATCAGGAAAAAACGTGATAAAGGGTGGGCTTAAAACAGCTTAGAGGAGCTGCACCAAAGACCAGTGTAAGATTTACGAGGACTGTTTTGCATTACTACAGCTATAATATATATATA